TTGGTTACCTATATTACTACAGTAACTCCACTGATAAAAGTATTCAATGGGCTTTGAAATATACTATGGTTGTGAAAGGCCCAGTAGAAATCCTATACAGACATTTTCTATGTAGCCTGTACAATCTCAGTTCTTCAAGTATTAGATGGTCAAATCTCGTCAAGTTTTAATTGGAGCTTAGCATTTGTTTTAACACTTTATATCTACAAAGAGTTTTGTCACTTGGAGCTACACAAACAACACTGATCAAATTAGACTCAAAGGCAACAAAAGGGTGGGAAATGTGTTCTACTCAATTGTCAAATGATCCAGTTTATATGTCACTGGTATTTGCTGAGGGAAAGGTTTTGAGCACTGCTGCCAGTTCCGAACAGTGCCAGAGAATTTTTCCTACCCATGTAAGAAGCGGAAAGAAAATTTCATTTGAAAATTGACAACTTTATAAACACTTTTGTACTTGCGTACAGCTTAGGGCTGATGTGGGACTTGAACCTTCAGCCTTTAATTCTACAAGGGAGTACGGTCACTAAGCCAAGTTAACACTTATTTACAACACCTGGCTAGAGTTAGAAATGAACACTTATTCATTCAATTTTCACTTTAGGAAATACACAAACACATCAAGCAACAGATTTCAGGATTTGATGAAATGACAGTACAGCACACTAAGCTCCAATTTATGGCGTCACCAATGGCAAGATCAGACACTTTGCATGTGCTGTTTCCAGCTGTCATACCACAGTAAACCAAAGCTGTGATTGTGTAAAATGAGTATCATACACATTTTCATTCACACCAACACCAACTTCCACACTTGGTTATTTTTTTCCAAAACAAATGGCTTTTGGCAAACAGAAACACACAAATACACCCACCAGGTTTTCACATCTCCATGCTCCGTACAATAAATAATGCAACTCCATGTGAAAATTATCCATGCATGTACACATTAAAATGCAAACTCATCAGCAGCTTAATGAGGTGAATATTTTCATTTGTGTGTCAAAGCATAAGCTGCTGCAGTATTCATAAACTTTCAGATTTCTGACTTAGTGAAGTGTCACACTTTGATCATCTTTGAAATGAGTTGAAGCATGACACTACTGGAAACTAATTTTTTCCCTTTATTCATTCCACATTTGTTACCAAACCCAATTGCCCCTGCCCTCAAGTGGCTGGCTAGGCCATTTCAGAAGGCAATTAAAGTTCACTCACATTGATGTGAATCTGGAGTTACATACCAGGTCGGATCCAGTATGGCAGTGCAATGTCCCTCTCTGAAGGGCATTAGTGAACTAGTTGAGGTTTTACAAAAACCAATAGCAGTTCCTAGCTTTATAATCCAGATTCATTAAGTGATTTTAAATTCCACCAACTGTCAGGATAGGATTTGAACCAATGCCCTCAAAGCACATACTGGGCATCTGCATTACTATGTGACATTATCACAACACCACCACCTCAGTATGTGGAACAGCCAACCACAAGATAATTGCAATTTATAAGTAATAAACACATTATCATAAGAAATTGTGAACTGCAACAGTTCAGTACTTGTTGCAATAAAACTCACTGTCCATTGACGATGTTCTCAAATGTATTCATCCTCTGACCAGCCGTGGAACTACAGATCTATTCTTCTATCTAAGAATATAGAAAATAGGAGGAGTAGCTATCCAGCCCCTCAGGTCTGCCCACCATCCGATACGATCATAGCTGCCCTACCCTCGGCCTCAATTTTTTTTTTGTGCCTGCTTAGGTGATCTCGCAATAGCCCAACATTTCAAAAATCTAAACTTCTTTAAATACTTAGTGATCTAGCCTCCTGAGTCTTTGGGGTAGACATTCATTAGGCATTTCAGAAAAGAAATTCCTTTGCATTCCAGTTTTAAATGAGTGTCTCCTTATTCTGTAACTACCGTCCCCTGGAGATACGCCCAGTAGTCGGTACGTCTTAACATCTACCTTGTCAAAGCCCCTCAGAATTGTGAATGTTTCAATAAGATCACCCCTTCCTCTTCTAAGTTCTAAAGAATAAAGACCTAACCTGTTTACCTGTACTTGTTAGGTAAACACCTTCATCCCAGGAATCAACCAAGTGATCACTTTTGAACTGCCCCCAATACAAGTATATCCTTTATTAAAATACACAGATCAAAACTGAACATAGCACTCAAGATAGGGTCTCACCAACATCTTGTACAGTTGTGACTAAAGTTTCATGCTGTTAAACATTAATTCCCTGGCAATGAGGGCCAAAATTCCATTTGCTGCCTAATGACTTGCTGCATCTGCACACTAATTTTCCTTGTTACATACCAAGAACAACTAGATCCCTCTTCACTGCAATTAAAGTGTGCCTTTTATTACTTAAATGGAATCCCTATTATTTAAACAATAATCTGCCTTTTGATTCTCCTACAAAAGTGCATCACCCTTTCTCACATTACACTCCATTTGCCCAGGATTTTGCCCACTCACTCAAACTACCTCCCTTTTCAGATTTATAATGGCCTCATTACAACATGCTCTCCCACCTATTTTTCTATCAGCAGTAAATTTGGACATACTAAACTCTTCACCCTTCAAATCATAAATATAGATTATAAATAATTGAGGTCCTAGGACTGATCCTTGTGACATTTCAATAGATTCATCTTTTTAACCTGAAAAATACCCAATAATCCCAACTCTCTGCTTTTGTTATTAATCTTCAATCCTTGCTAACACATTCCTCTAGTACTGTGCGCTCCTACCTTGTGTGATAACATTTTATTTGATACTTGGTGAATGCCTTCTGAAAATCCAGATACATGATATCTATCAGTCCCCTTTAACAACTACGCTTATTACAGCTTCGAAGAATGTGAGCAAATTTGTCAAACATGGATTTCCCTTTCACAAAACCATATTGATTGTGCAAAACATTTCTAATAATATTTTTTCATTAATGATGGACTCTAGCATTTTCCCAACAACAGAAGCCAAGCTAACTGACCTAGTCTTCTGCTTTTTATCTCCCTCCCTGCTTGAAGTGTCACATTGAATTTTCCATTCCATTTGAACCTCCTGGAATCCAGTGAACCCTGGGATATTTCAAGCAATGCCTCAACTACCACTTCTTTTAAAACCCTTAGTCGCAATCAAGTTGTTTTGACCTATCATACTGAAATTTGATATTCTAAAACCAGAAGACAAATTACGTCCCCAAATTTCATGTTTAATTCTCATCTCCCACTCTCCCCAAAAATGAAAAACACCTTAAACACAAAACTGAACAGGAAAACCAACAGCTGCATAACATCAGTGCCTGATGAACTAAGACACAGCTGCTAATGTTCATATTTAGTGCACTTAAAACAAAATTAATGCTGCTTGATCGTAAAATTTACTGTACAATCCACAGGCTTTGTCTGTCCATAGATATTCATTTGAAAGGTACTAACCTTAAACTCAAGTTTCCATACCCTGCCTTCAATAAAACACCAACTAGTTCTTCGATCTGATGTTTTAGAAAATGAACTGTTTATCATAAACGTGGTAGCCACTATTTTTTTGGTGTTGCCCTACACCTCCTCAACAGCGCAGTGTTCTTTTCAAAGTTTAAAATTAGGAACGTAATGAGAATAGATGCCATATGCCAGGTGCCTGATAACTGGCAGGTGGAAGTGGTATTGGGTTATCAGCAGTTGAAACTGCATAGATACCAGATACAACTTAAACTACCTGGTACATACTGTTTTGCATGGTAGTCGTATTGTGCCATGGTTCAGGTTACTCTGCAATCAAGCACTACATCCCTTCACTTAGCTTCCTCATGGCACAGCTCACCATGACCCAGACATGAAATGAACAGTTTATAAACCTGTTAATTGTGTTGTTATAATAGTGTAAAAAAGGATGCAAGTGATTTAATTAGCACTTCATAATTCACAGACGATTTTTTTAAGCTCAAGGTG